GCAATAAATCTGACAAAATCTAATAAAACTGCGGGGCCTTATGAATTGGCGTTTTAGCCTAAGTTAGAAAATTTGTCGTAATACTAAATACAATACCGGTGAGGATATAATTGCTTATGTTAAATTGGAAATTCGTGAATCCTCGCCGGACATCGAATATAAAATCCCAATCGAAAAGATCATGAACCAAAGCACTTAAAAGAACCTCTCATCTTTCGAAAAAAAGCACTAAAGGATCTAAGTGATCAAAAGGAAAATTTAATTTAGCTGCTGATAAAAGGAATATCACCACCGTAATAACAATCGAGGATTATAATTAAAGAATAACTGGACATGAACATTTAAAAAGACAGTGCAATACATCTCCAAGGGAACTATTCTGAGATAAACGTGCAAATTGTCCAGTTCACACAAAATATATTCCTTTCCTAGATGTGCCGTGACAAAATATCTAACGACATTGCTAACACCATCTATGTAACAGTCTGAAACTTACGTCAGGTATTATCCTTTACATACACAAATTATCAAGAAAATAAACAATATCACACTAAGACCGAATAACATACTATTGATTTTTTGGGTAGTTCCACTGGTCACTATGGTGACATTGAGGCATTAAACAGCATTTTATGAGCTGGTACGAGTTTTTAAAGAGTTTTTGTAAATAAAACCTTAAAATAGTTGAAGACTTCTATAAATTGCTGTACACCAGCCAACACAAAACAAATAGCAGAGAATATCAAGTATCAGAAAATTAACAAGGAAAAATGAGAATTGTCAACCAAGGATCAGAACTACTACCGAAAATCACAATAGACAAAATAAAACTAGCCCTAAGAAAAGCTAAGAATAACAAATCTCCAGTCAAATATTATGCAGTTATTAATACAAAATCGCAGGCACCTGCCTACTTACGAAAATAAAAAAACCTTTTTAACATGTGTCTTTTGGACAGTAATATACTCGACAAATGGCACAATGCTGAGGTAATTCTATTGTACAAAAAAGTAGATTCCCATGAATTAGAAAACTACAGACCTATAAGTCTTCTTTTGATTTCTACCAGCCAATAGAACAAGCGGATTTGGAACAAATGATCATCTACAAAGCCTTAAAACGGTAATAGAGAAGACTATCGAATACAATCGACCACTCGTTCTGGCTTTTTTAGATTTCCATAAAGCCTTTGACACGGTAGAATTTGACAAAATCCTGGAAGCACTACAAGCATGCCGCATTGACTACCGATATGCAAGGTTAATTTACAAGACATATAAGAATGCAACTATGCCAGGGAAACTACATAAAAACACAGATCAAATCCCAATCGACAGAGGAGTCCGACAGGGTGATACCTTATCGCCTAAGCTGTTTACCACAGTACTAGAATATGCTTGTAAAAAACTTAACTGAGAAGAGAAAGGCCTGAACATTGAAAATAGTCTTGTTCTAGGACAACCTCAAGAAGATATGTACAATGCTACATGAACTTCAGTTAGTGGGTCTTAAAATAAATATCTCCAAAAGAAAATTCATGACAAACTTAGTACCTAGCGGAAATATCAATATTGGAGACAACGAATTAGAGTTGGTGGAAAAATACATATACCTTGGACACGAAATAAAGATCACAAGGGACAACCAAACATGCGAACTACGAAGAAGAATAAACCTAGCATGGACAGCCTACGAAAAATTCTAAACACATTTTTAAAAGCAATATACCAATTTCTTTAAAACGTAAAACATTTGAACAATGAGTGTTGCCTGTGATGATCTATCTTGCCGAAACTTTGACATCGACACCAACAACTTCTAAAACGCTGCAAATAGCTCAGAGGAAAATGGAAAGGTCAATGCTGAGTATATCGCTTCGTGACCGAGTTAGAAATGAAGACTTAAGACGAACAACAGGAGTTACCGATGTAACTTCACGAATTGCCACACTGAAATGGAACTGAGCGAGGACGAGGTTAGACAAAAGAAGTAGAGGAAAACCCCCTACTCGTTGGACTGACGATCTCAAGAAAATATCAAGAAATTGGATGAAAAGTGCTCAAGATAGAGCACATTGGACAAAAATAAGGGAGGCATATATTCAGCAGTGGACGCAAAGGTCTGGGTAATGATGATGAAGATAAAACAATGCTTTGAGAGAATAACATAAGAAATTCGGTTTATTTCATATTAAAATCTTGATGTAACCTCTAAAAACATATAAAATAGCGCCACATCAAATTGGCGCAGTCGTAGTATTTTAAAAGACGTCAAATACATTAAAATTCTTTAGCACACATTAAGTAAATGCCTTAATAACAAATTTATTAAGAAAATAAGTTAACTTTTTGCGATATAGAATATGGAAAGTAATCAACTGGACTCCATATATTCAAAGTCAATAATTTTTAATTATGTAATAATCGTTACAAACATTTTTGTCGGAAGTACAGTCCTCTCTCTCTATAACGATGTGCAAGGGACCGGGAATTTTCATCGTTATAAGGAGAGATCGTTATACAGAGAGAGGTAAAATTCGGTACTCTAATATTAATAATACTGTACGAAATAACATATTTTAATTTAAAAAAATTATCAAAACGAATATAAATGTAAATATAAAAACACTGTATTGTACATCACATAGATTTATTAAAGAATAATATAAGCAATACAGTATAAAAAAATGACTGTACAATTAAAACATGTGTACTGTACAATAACAAAAAAAATTTTCTACTGTAAAATATATTTAGCCTACATTAACAAAAAAGTCTGTCACCTTGGTCTGTCTCCTTTCTACAGAACTGACCTGACCTTGTCCTGAAGACACATAGAATTTTCTACAGCACTCGTCTTCCTCGTCATCCACCTTCCTGGTGGATGAAGAATCGATGCAGTACTTGCAATGCCTGCTGAGGGGTCGGAGCTAGTTCTGGCTCTGCTTTCACTTCCGGGTCACTGTTTTCTTCTTCTTCTAAACGATCTGCTTGTAGGATATCCTCGTCAAAAGGTCCAGATGTTTTAGCTACATTTTTATCAACTTTTTCAAAATCTGTTAGCTCTTCTGGTCCTTAGGTGATAGTAAGTTCAAACTGTCTGGCCCATACATCTACTGGCAGGTCATCTTCATCATCAGTCAATTCTTGATCTTCCAGCCATTCTGCGTGTTTAAATGAATGTTTTATTGTATTGCTTCTCACCTCATCCCAGGATTTACTAATCATTATGATGGCGTCAAGAATGTTTAGTTTAAGATCGCCATTATTCTCAACCAATTCCATTAAAAGTCTTCTCCTGTAATGGCTTTTCAAACTCTAGATGACACTTTGGTCCATGGGCTACTTGTTGTGTTTGCTGGCAAAAACAAAATTACTGTTTTGAAGGTCGCACAGTACAGGATAAGTAGGATAATTGTCTACAAGCAAACGAATGTTGTTCTCTTTAAGCTCGATATCCCACTTTCTTATCGCTTTTTCATTCATTTCCGAAGTCATCCACGCACTCTTGTTTGCTTTATAGGTCACCGGTAGATTTTTCTGTTTTTAAAGCAACGTTGGTTTTTCGACTTCCCTATCACTAATAATTTTCGCTTCACCGAACTATGGCAGGTTCGGTGAAGCGAAATGTTAGCGGCCACTAAAACTAATACGTTCCTTAGACAGCTTTCCACCAACGAATTTTTCCGATTTAATTTTAAAGTTCTGTTTGGTGTCATTTTAAAAAACAATCCAGTCTCATCAGCATTGAAAATGTCGTCTCACTGATATCGTGCCTTCAGTCTAGGCCACACGTTTTCTAGCCAATTATCCGTTACGTTTTTGTTAACATCGCGAGCTTCTCCGCTGATTTGCCCGTAGTTGATCTTGTGCCGCAGCTTCCACTTGCTCAGCCAATTCTCACATGCCTTGAAATGGTCAATTCCAAGCTCAGTTACAAAAACTCAGCTTTTAACCTGACCACAGGCCCAGACAGTGGAATATGGTTCACACCCTGCTGCTGGAACCACTGAAGCATAGCGCGATCTAAATCTTCGTGCTGAGGTTTCCCCAACTTGTTCCTGCTACCGCCCTCCATCTCCTCTTCAAACCAGTTTTTTCTGTCCTTTCTTATCATAGCCACTGTTCACTGAGACAGCCCTGTACGACGAAAGACATCCGATTGCTTTTCACCTTTCTCTATTGCTCGAGTTATGGATAACTTTTTCTCCACCGAGAGCACTTTACGCTTTTTCGAAAACATGAACACTGTTGACTGTTGAAACACTGAGACACAACTCAAACTGGAAATGGGGAGTCGTCAATAGATGACAACATCTGTGTGATAACGGTGCCCAAACAATAAAAGCGAGTCACTTAATGCTCTGATGAGAATGAGTAGAATGAGTGGCCGCATTCCTTAAGCGCAAAACAAAACAACCACCGGACATTAACCTTGCCACTCATGACGCAGGTTGTCTGAACTTTAAGCACATTGACACATTTGCCATCGACTATTGAATGCTGAAAAGTCATCGCTATAAAGAGAGAACGATATCGGTAGAGAGAAAGAATTAATACATTGTCCTTATGACGAACCAACCAACGTTTACTATTTTCATCGTTATAGAGGAATTATCGTTATATAGGGAATCGTTATAAAGAGAGACTACTGTATTGCAAATTTGGTTTTCTTTTCTGTCTTTTATTGCTGTACTGTAAATATTAAAGTCCAAGTAATAGTGAGAATATTAAATTAAAAAAATAATAAAAATAAATTGTACACAAAGAAAACCGAGGAAAATAAACCAGAAAGTTTTGAACACAATAAAAGTGGATTGATGGTAGCCGAGATTATGCCGATTTTCGTACCGATCGATCGAGAAACATTGAAACTAGAGTAAGTTTTGGAATTTACGTTTAAATGACAGTAGATGTCAATTCTGACACTTCAAGAATAAATGCCAGTGCATAATAATCCCGATATTAACAAAAAATACTTGTTTTTTCACAACATGCATACCTGAATTAAGATAAAGTTATCTCAAGACTCTGTACTCTTGCTCTTTCGACCTCTAAGCGATCCTACGATTGATTTCAAAGCGGCTCCAATACTGCTGCCAGGAGTATGTACATTAGTACTAGGGTTCCCCAAACCTTGGGGGTGAGCGTCCAGGCATTTCTGGTACCTAAGCTGTAACAAAAATGTGAAATTTTTCAGTTATTTTTTAGTAATTTTTGTTTATTATAAATGGTCAAAAGCAAGGATAGTGTTCCATGTGACAGTCACACAATTCGTAATTAACAACTTTCACAGAATATGTTTTTTCTTAAAATTGAAGCAACAAATTTGACACAAAAACAAATGCTTGAAGGTTGTTGGAAAAGTTCATTCATATGTAGAATTACTTGTCTTAAATATGTATCAGTACTTTAAGTTAAAGAAAAATTGTAAAACAATTAGTTATATGCAAAATCATTTTTTTTACTTTTAAAGGAAATAGTTATGTAGATGTACATTATTTCCTTAAAACTTCATTGCACATCAATCACATTTCTACGTCGTTAAAGTACAACCAAGTCGTTAAGGTACAACCAATTCGTTAAAGATTCCATAAAAATAATTTTGAGAACTATTTTAATAATTTTGACCTATCTTTTTATATTATTCTATATATTGTATATTGACCCAATATATTTTCAATGAAATAAAATTAATGAAAAACAATTTTACTCAAAAAACACTAATTTACATTACATATCAACTTTATGTTATGGAGTGCGAACGATAGTTAGGAAATGTTGGTACCATTTCCAGAGTTGCCATGTGTAATTTTATTAATATTAACGTTTTTTGCAATATATTCAAACCTCAAATACTGTGAATAGGTAATTATTTACGGAATTTCATAAACAAACAAAATTTATAATGAATTTATAATTACATTTTATCATTCCATAATGTACTATGCCGACAATACGACAACATTGTGAGAAAATGTCAACGTCAAAATTGACAGACACGTGTAATTAACTTTAAACGAATTATTGTTCGCTTCGATCACTCCGATTACTTAAAAGAACCTAACCAAACCTCAGCTAACCCAACATAACCTAACCAAACTTTATAGAGCATAACATAACCAAACTTTATAGAACATCACCCAATCTTCCCAAAGCTTACCGAATCTAATCACATCTCACCTAGTAACGAAAAACATTTCACAACGAATTATATAAAAATTACTATGATAGTTCTATAACTTAATAGCTTATCATTATATTTGCCTTTATACCTCTGCCCCGGTAGAGGTCAGTCTCCCTAATTATATTTCTCCAAAAGTTTCTATATTAGGTCATATTAATATTAAGCCTCATTTCATATGTCATACCTAAGTGTCTCCCGCCAACCTCTGTTTGGCCTTTCTCTCCTAATTGCTACAAGAAACTTCCAATTCTTCATATTCAGTGGTTATCATTTCAACATTGAACTTCCTCTTTGATTTTGCCATCAACTGGGGTCACTTCTAAACTTTCTCTAATATATTCATCTTTAATTTTATCTTCTTTTGTCACTCCCTCGTCTATTTAATCATTATCATTTCCACCATACGGATTTGTTGTTTCTACTGTCTATCTATTTGTTGAATCTTTCTGTCACTCAACACACCACTTGCTTCCTTTTTATTCGTCCATCTAGTTCTAACTCGACTGCATTCCATCTATGCCCCCATTATCCTGTGTTACCGAGAATTTGTAACTTACTAGGTAATTATTATAAATATCTTGTTACAAATTAGTAATTTTTTTAAAAACGTAAAATTTTCATAATTTCGTGAAATTCTTGAAAAAGTTGTTGATTTTTGTAAAAATCTTGCCGTATCTACAACTTGTGGCTTTTATAAGAATTTAAAATGTTTATAATTTACCTAAAAACTTGTAAAAATTTAGTAGTTTTATAACAAAAAAATACTGTAAAAACCAGTAATTCTGTACAAAACAGTAAATATTTGTGTTGTGGGTGATATAATTACTAGATTTGCACGTCTACTTTAATATATATATTTTAATGCACTTGCTAAAGAACACACACTTTTTTGTGATATGTAATATTTTGATAATACACCAACTTTCTGCAATTTAAAGTAGAAAGTATCAGTGTGATGTAATGAAAGTACTTAATTGCATTATTTGAATATATTGTTATTGTTTATATTTCTCAACATAAAGTAGCACAGCTATCCAAGTCAAGGTTCTGCCGTTGATTGAATAACCCGTTCTGCTGATTAAGTATAGGGTGATTGAATAATCCACTTTGAATCGATTTATAAATTAGAATAAAATGAGACTGTGTTGAGAAAAAAATATATTCTCTTGTTCTATCTGAACCACTTAACATTTAAATGAACCTGCTCCCAAATATTTTCTGTTTCAGCATTATTACACCTGTCTCAAATACTAGTATCATACCTGGGACACCCAATAAAGTCACATAATCAAAAGTGTTTTTATAACGCTCATTTATATTGCCATTAAAGAGCAGTAGTATGTTTCTCTAGACTTACCTTACATGCTGCTTCTATAGTTTTACATAAAGCACCTGACGAGGGTTCACAATAAAACACGTGCGCCATGAAAGTATCTTGTGCCGTGTGCATGATAAACGCACAGTGCTTGATTACTTTGCCTATACCCAAAAATGATAAATATCTAACTCTGCATTCTGCTAAAACACGTTCATCCTAAAATCAAAATAAACGAATTATTAACGATATAACGATACATACTTGTAGTAAGATTTGGTGATTATGTAGAGATGGTTTTTAATTTAATTCAATTCAATTCGATTCGGTTTATTTTATTTTAATTTTATTTTTTTAAGAAACGCGCATGGGACTGAGTTTACTATATAAATACAAATACTTTATAAATACAAACTGACAGCTCAGTTGCTAGTTGCTCAGGACTAGCAACCTCCAGTGGAGTCTTGCCATGCCATGGCTTGGAACGTTGCCATGTAATCAATTCCTGTTGTAACTTAAACATCCTAGTTTATAAAGTCAAATTATTGTAAAATTCCACGAGGAAACTAAGTTCCTGTAGCCGTAGCTGGCTGTATAACATATATCACAAAAAAATTTTGTTTAAAATCCTTTATAAAAGGTATATAAAATGCCTCAAACGGGCTATCACAAACACATTGCAAAACGTTTTCGGATTAAACAATCCATCATCAGTGCAAACCTGAAAGTATATAACCACTTTAATTAAAAAGAACGTTAAATGAAAATGTTGACAAAGGTTAGAGCAAAATGTAGTTAATACTTACGGTTGTACATGCTAGTAGCCACCAAAATATATGGGTAAAAACCCTTTAAATGTTTTAAATTTGAAGTTGTTTTACATTATTAGTATTTATAATTTGTGATGGTTAAGTTACCGTTGGATAGGTAACATGGCGGCGTATGACTCTACATGAGTAAAATGGTCCTGAGACGAAGTGTCTACGAGGACCTGTTGATAACAACTGATCAAAATGACATTGTTGACAAGTTAGGACGGATGTTGTGTCAGAGCAGTCAATGTAACTTACAGTAGTTGTCTACAATTGACAGATGTCAGCCTTATTTAAAATTGAAAAAGTTAAAATTATAATAATGTAACAGTATCAACACATCAATATTGTAATCTGTATTATAAAATTGTAATCTGAAAATTGATGGCTGAAAGATGGTTAGGTGTGATATTGTTCCTACATTGCTCAAGTTATAACTCAAGAAAACAAAAGGCCCCATATGTTAAAAGGAACATTTGGTGCCTAAGAAATATAATTAATCAGATAGGTATATTTGAAACATTGAAAATTGGTTTTTTAAAAATTAATGTAGGTCAACTGGAATTTATGAAATTTTGTAGGATTGATAGGCAACCAACTATACATGTGTAAGGATCTATTTATTTTAAGATAAATATTTTGTCAAAAGGCCCTGTATGTTGTGAGACATTTGGTACCTAGAAAATGGTAAAAAGGCACATGTGGGAAGATGGGTCCTAAAAGATTTATTATTGAGTATTGATGTAGTAGGTGGAGGTGTGTTTAGATATGTTGTTGAGCTGAAATGTAAATATGATAAGAATGTGATCATAATGTGGTGTTCATGTAGTACTCAACTTAAAACTTAAGTATGGAAGGCCCTCTATGTCAAAAAACTACATTTGGTACCTAGTAAAGATAAATAAAAAAAATTTTAAGTTACAAGTACGTGAACATGAATTACTGGTTATGTGTGTAAAGTAAAGATGGTAGGTTGTTTATGTGTGTGGGCAAGTATGCCAGACTGAAAGAAAATTGATGGCTGAAAGATGGTTAGGTGTGATATTGTTCCTACATTGCTCAAGTTATAACTCAAGAAAACAAAAGGCCCTATATGTTAAAAGGAACATTTGGTGCCTAAGAAATATAAAAGTAAAAAGAGATGAGTTATAAGTTAGAGTGTAGGTAGGTGAAAAGTTAATAGGCTTATGGAGTGTATTGTGACAATATGTGGAAATGTAAGAGTAGTTGTGTTTAAGGTGGATCTGTCAAGTTTACTAAAGATGTGTGATGTTTAAATGTTATTGTGAAGATGAAGGGGAAAACTACAAAAGACTGAAGACCCCAGAGACCCGAAAACCAAACCCTGAGGGAAATTGGATGAGTAAAAAGAAGTTATAAATGATAATGAAAAACGCAGTATGAAAAGGTGAAGATATGTGGTTGAGTGGGTGATGGTGTATATTAATGAAAATTGTTTTTGGAGAGGAAGTGGCATGATCTGCTCTGAAATTATTTTGTTGAGAAGGAGCATGGAGAATATTGGGTATTAGGTCAGATTTGACGTTTGGATGCCTAGACAGAAGTGAGGAAAGAAGGGGAGTTGGATATATTGAACAAAGTTTGAGGGGGCTAAGGATGATTAGTAGGTGATAAGAGAAGGATGAGAATTTAAATACTAATGAAGAAGTAAGTTTGATAAAGAGTTATGAGAATAATTGACGGTGGAGCGGAAGAAAGTCTCGATTAAATGAAACATGGCGATTGACACAATTTGGACTTCTCTGTTTTTCTTTAATGATTTCTAGGTCTTCATATAGGTCTAATTTGAGAAAGTTTTTTTTGTGGGATGTTGTGAATAAGTGAGACGTCTTCTGGGATATTGAGAGTGTGGTTGTGTTCTTTAAGGTGTTGAGAGAAAGTGGAAGTATTTTCTCTTTTTGTGTGCTCTAAAGAGCGTGAAGACAATGATCTACATGTTCTTCCTATGTAGGTAGCATCACAATCAGAACATTTTAATCTATACACACCACTACGGTTCATATAGTTGATGGGGTCTTTGGAGTTGGATATATACTGACCCAAGTTATTAGGTACTTTAAATGAAACATGAATATTTTCAACCGAACGTTTAATTAGATTTCTAATATCTCCAGAAAGACTCTCATGGTGAGAAGGGAGTGAAACATAATTGGGTTTGGTGGTAGGATCCCTGGGGAACGCAGTCTCCTGCAAGTTCCTACGTCGTTTTCTATAAATGAGTTTATTGATAATGTTATGATCATAACCGTTGTTGACTGCTATTTGTCAGAGACTATTTAGTTCTTTTGTGTAGTTTGAATGAGAAAGTGGAATGGTTTCCAGGCCATGGATGTAACTGTGAAAAGCAGCATATTTATGAGACATGGGGTGGTTGGATGAGAAGGGTATTACATGGTCAGTCTGTGTAGGTTTCCTAAAGATACTGAAGTCGAAGTGGTCATTTAATCTAGTAATGGTGAGATCAAGAAAATTAATTGACTTGGAAGATTCTAGTTCCATGGTGAACTTGATATTGGGGTAAATTTGATTAATTTTATAAAGTAATAGTTCAGCTGAATTGGAGTTACCTGAAATGAAGACTAAACAGTCATCAACATAACGAAACCAATGGAGTATTTCAGGATTTGTCATAATCTGTGTGGATTCTAAATGATCCATAAATACATCAGCTAATAGGGGGTAGAGACAGCTACCCATGGCTAAGCCATCAGGTTGTCTATAATATTTGTTGTTAAAAACAAAAAAGTCTTGGTCTAAACAAAGTTGTAATAATTGGATAATGGAGTTCGTAGTAGACTGGGTGATGGAATTGTTTCTCAGAAGAGAGTGAACCAGATTAATTGTTTCTTGTTTGGGGACAGAGGTAAATGGATTGTTGCAGATGGATTGTTTAATCCGAAAACGTTTTGCAATGTGTTTGTGATAGCCCGTTTGAGGCATTTTTATATACCTTTTATAAAGGATTTTAAACAAAATTATTGTAACTTAAATTCAATTTAACAACATTTGACGGGTTTTGAAGTAAATCAAGTAAATTATGATTAAATTCAAATCTAACTTGGTATATGTACCTCTACGTAGAATACGTAGAGGTACATGCAGACAATAGAAATGCAATCCCGCTAGAGAGAGTAGATCGTCAGCATATAGGAAACCATTTTTTACCGGTAGACGAACTTCCTTGCATAAGTCATTTATGGTTAGGTTATATAGGGACAGCAAATTGAACCTTGAGGCACACAATTGATCTGTTTAAAAACAGTTAAGTCGTTTCCCGTTTATTGTCTTTTTGAATGTACATTGATTTAATCAATGAAACTGTAATTCAGTATAATTTTGTTTAATTTTAATTTCACTAATATAATTGGTGACTTAATGCAATAAAAATATTGAAAAACAGATTACTTACATTTGGATGATGGATACTAATCATAGATGGAGCTATCGATATATTAACCGGCTGCCACTGTTCTCGCGGGACTGTGGCCACCAACCTGTCTATAGATTCGTTCAAGATGTCCATTCCAGTGGCTGCGGACACTTGCGTGGAACCTAAATACTGGGCTCGGAGGATCTTTTTTGGTTCTTCCATTGGTGTTGGAAAAGATTGAGCTGAAAAATTAAATACAAGATTATTGTTATGGAAAAACAGAAAAAGAAATCTTATATCCTAGATGCGGTGTAGATTAAGGCACAAAACATTGTTTAAAGCAAACAATTTTAAGATAGATATACTTACAAACAAAAATTTGAGAATTTCTAGCTGGACGTCTGTGTTCTGTCGGTAAATTATTTGGTCTAGTAGCTAGAGATTTACCATTCACATCGATAGCCTTTCCTAAATTCTGTTGCAAACTTCTTTCGATCATTATCTTCTTGCATATATCTCTTAGTGTGTTGGCGATGGTTCTGGCTGGCATGTCGCACCTAAACACGTGACACATGTGCTTGCGTGTGGTCCTATCTCTTGCTACGTACGCGAAATCCCTAAAATGCACATCCTTTAATCAATAACTGTATAAAAAACATAATAATATTCTGTTTAGAGAAGTTTCTTTGTACCCTAGCTATTTACTAAATGGTTCTTCTCATAAATTATAAATGGCATGACTGTAAATAAAATAACTCTTTTTGAAGACAACAATTGTTGCAATAATAAATACCAATGTAGCTTACAGTGATCTAGGACTGTTTCTTCCTCCTTTCTTCTAGAAGCCAGACCAACCTCTAGAGGATTTATTAACAAAACAAAAACTCTCAAGAAAATATTGAATGACTTCCAAATTCAACAAAAATTTTTATAATACGAAATAAGCTGGTAGATTCTAAACTCAAAAATGAAGTATGATAGTCAAAAGTCTTATCGTTTCAACTTAGGTCATTAAAAAAGAATACAATCTACAAAATTTACCTTTCTCTGTTTTTCCCAAGCAGCGCAGCAAAAACAGAAAAATAACATTTAAATATAGTCCTTAATACTGTTTATCATTACCTTACCTCCCATTATCTCTTCCTACACCCCAAACTCTGATAGTGTGGATTGGCTGAGTATTTAAAACTGTCAAATTTTCCGGATCAAACAACTTCAATGAACCTTCGTCTAAATCCATAAATAAATCTTTACCCTGGGGAAAAGAAAACAATTGTATTCGTATAATAAAATGTTTTCTTTTTGACAAATATAACATAAAAAATGTACAATTAACATAACCTCACTTAACCTAACTTTTTTATATTTTTTATATATTTATGTATTAACAGTTATCATTGAGCGATATTTACAAATAAAAATACATTGGAGAAAAGCAACAATAACAAAAACAACCAAGAGAACAAAAAAATTGATGACGGAAGAACTCTTAACCTAATGGACAAAAGAAGAAAACTACTAACACTGATTTAGGAAATATGGTCACAAGAAATAAATTAGGATAAAGCACAAAGAAATCACGATATATTTCAACTATATACAAAAAGCTGAGACAAAGTAACTGGTATTAAATAAAACTAGCCCCCTCATAATCTAGAAGAGAATAGCGAAAACAGAATACCAGATATCCAGGGATAACTGAATAAGTAAGAATGTGGGAAAATATAGACTTCATGAACATAAAAAGAAAGAAGTAACTCATTCAATACACCTGAATATAAGGAAGAAAACTTAAAGCTCCGATAAATATATGTCTATTTCATTATATTAACAGAAAAGTTTTATGAGAATATAACTTTCAGCTAATACTTACATCTCCCCACCTACCGACAACATCCAATAAGTCATTCTTGCCTAAAGAGAGATCGACTATGCATTTATTTACAGCTTTACTGCTTCTTTCCGGAGTGAGATCGTCTTCCGAAATCTCCACCCATCCGAGAGATCTTACAGCAAATCTGATGGGACGTTCTTTGCAATCTTGGTCTGGTTTCGAAGGAAAACTTCTTCGTCTGTAATAAAAATTATCAAGAGACAGTGTATTTGACAGCTTTTGTCTCCATGTGTGATTTTAAGACTCAATAAAAACTATAATATATATTATATATATAAAAAAAGCAATTTATACGCTGTACCGTGTGGACCAATAAGCCGATCTCTCGGCTATATATCATAAACTACTCATGTTATAACTTTAGGAGAAAAAATTCCTTAGTAAAAGTGGCCAAGAGAAATCGCTGGAACCAACTTTCAAATTTCTGGGTTAACCGCTAGGGGTGTAACCTGTAAAGAAAAAATTGAAAACCAGTTTTTTGTGAAATATGCCCATTTATATCAAGTGTTAAATAAGTAAACTAGAAAGAGGCCTAAATTTCGCACAAAGTTGTTCAAGTACTTTTTTTTATTTTTTCAAATTAAGGGTGGGGTGAATGGGAAAGTATTTGTGGATAAATACCTATAACTTTGGTTTAGATCAACTGATTTTAACGAAATTTGTGTCATTAGAAAGATGATTTAATTTACATCTACTATAAAACAATTGCATTTAGTTTTAATTGTCGTTTAATTGTCATGGGTAGAGGGTACTTTCGAATAGAAAAAATTAAAATTTGTTTTCCTTCAAAATGTTTAATGGAAACACCTATTTATTATAAATTATAATGGAACTGGATTAAATTCGTAACAAAATGGAGCAAACCTCATGTTGATAGCTTTTGTCGAACTCGAGATATGAATAAAAACGCATAAACATAAGTAAGTAAAGTATTGACTCACGCTATACTATAACTTAAAATTTAATATGTGAAAGATCATACAGATAGAAAGAACAGATGTGAAAGAACTATAACAGATACAAATATATAGTAAAAAAGGAAATTAAAAAAACAAAAAACATAACCTGGGACAACAAGTGTGCAGAAATAAGCTCAATGGTAGGAGGATCTAGGTCCAGACAAGTTTGGAAAACTATCAACAGTCTTAGAAAAAATACAAACGAAACAAAAAAAAATAAACCCCATAGACATAGAAAGATGGAAAAATTATTATGAAAATCTATTAAATGAACAACGTACACAGTTTCTAGACACACAGATAGATAGAGTTGAAACGGGGTTAAATTAAGTGGCGATGATTACCGTAGAAGAAATAAAAAACGCATTACAAAAAATGAAAAATAATAAAGCTCCTGGGCCGGGTGATTTACCTATCGAGTTATTCAAACATGCCACTGCAATAACATTAGAATTGCTTTGTAAAATGTTTAACAAGTGCCTACAAGGAGAAAGTATCCCAATAGATTGGAAAGTCTCGTATATAAACTCCATCTACAAAAAGGGAAACAGGAATGACTACAGTAATTACCGAGGTATCAGCATTACGTCATCCACTGGCAAACTGTATGAAAGAGTTCTGAAAGCCAGAATAGAAAAAGAAGCCACAGAGATCGAAGAACAAAGTGGATTCCGACCAGGGAGATCTTGTGTCGACAATGTATTTACTCTCAAACACCTAACGGAAAAGAGATTAGCAAGAGGACTAGAACTTCATGCCACTTTTATAGATCTCCGTAAAACGTTTGACTCCGTACCACTGCAGAGACTATGGACAACATTGGAAAACGCAGGTATAAATGCAGTATATATAAATGCCGTGAAAAAGCTATATCAAGATAACCAAGCTTATATTAAGGTTGGAAACCAAATTTCCAAGGGTTTCACCCAAACAAAGGGTGTCAAACAGGGCTCTTGCCTCTCCCCAACCCTATTTAAAATATATCTTGGTAATGCTTTAAAACATTGGATGAGAAAATGCAGCCCAATGGGCATATGGGTAAATGACACTCCTATATACACAATCCTCTTCGCAGACGACCAGGTAGTTCTTGCCGAGGACCTACAAGATATGACGTACATGATAAACAAACTAATAGACGAATTCAAAAAATGGGGATTAGAGGTTAATACCGAAAAGACACAATACATGAATATAGGAGGCATCGGTCAAGACATGGAAACAGAAAGCGGATTAATTAAAAACGTTGATCAGTACGAATATCTCGGAGTTACACTAAGCGAAGACGGGAGAGACGACAAAGATATAACAAGAAAAATAGGAAAAGGAAAAAACATGATAAAAACACTACATCCGATCCTGTGGAATAAAACTTTAACTAAGAAAACAAAGAAAAATATATATCAGGCTATGATTCAGCCGGTGCTGACGTATGGGTCAGAAGTGTGGGTCTTTAACAATAATATGTCACAAAAACTCCTCTCAACGGAAATGATGTACTGGAGAAGATGTTCCGGGTTAACTTTGACCACATAAGAAATGAAAACATAAGAGAGAGAATGAAAGTAAAGAACACAATAATGGATACGATAGCCGAAAAACAATTAAAATGGTATGGACACCTGAGACGGATGAACGAAGAAAGGATACCACGAAAGGTTTGGAACTGGAGACCTACACAGAGAAATAAAAGGGGAAGGCCAAGAAAGAAATGGATATCCAATATTCATATAGAAATGGAAAATAGAGGTCTTCAAGAAGGAGACTGGGCCGATAAGAAATTATGGCGATTGGGATGCGAGAAGCGACAAAATTAAAGTTGCAAACACTCGCTATTATATATATTATATATATATATATATATATATTATATATATATATATATAAAGATCATACAAATATCTCGATCACTAAAACTTGTCCAATGTCCAATTAAATGTTCAAATTGTTTTCCATCGTTGTCCACACAAAGATGTACTCTTTCGCGCGTAGACATAACAGCTACTTCAATCTCAGCTGTTGATATACTATTCATTGCGTTTAAAATGTGCTGTTTGGTACACTAAGTCCTTCAATCTTCCCCACAGATAGTCTGGAGATCTAGCTGGCCATGAAAATATACTTCCCCTTCTAATCCAATTATTTGGATAACTTGCATACAAATAATCTCGAATTCGTCTGGAAAAGTGCGCAGGACACCCGTCATGTTGTAATATCATATCTCTTCTTGTTTGTAAGGAAATATCTTACAATAAAACAGACAACTGATTTTCCAGAAAATCCAAATATGTTTCGCCATTTAAAGTTCTATCAAAGAAATATGGACCTACGATCTTTCCATCAACTATACCACACCAAAAATTAAGACTCCATTTACCTTGAACCTGCACTTCATGTATCCAGTGCGGATTTTCTTCAGCCAAATAATGCATATTATACAGATTAACACCACCCGCACTATTAAACGTAATCTCGTCTGTCCAACAAAATCTTTGACATGATATGCGGTTGTTCTTCTAGCAGACCTAACATCCAATTGCAGTAATCCAGCCTTGCATCAAAATCTCTCTCAAGTAAAGCTTGGTGGAGAACTACATGATAAGGATGCAGTCTAAAAAACAGAACAACAAATATTGGTGAAAAAGAAACCACTATATTTACTAAAACTCAAAAGATATTGAAAAACCCACAATTGTTTCACAAGATAATTCGTGCATAAGTATTTTTAAGAAACGGATAAAAGCGCCGTGTTGAAGTTTTTATGGGAATATTAAAATAACAATTGGATCTAAAGTTTAAAGGAAATTCCAAGTTTCTGACCTAAACGTTCACTTTATAATATGAAAAACCAACCTGTGATGTTTTAAACTCCTTAGAACAGTAGTTTTGGGTATGTTTAATTCTATATAGATGTGCCGACTACTTGTATGTGGGTTCTGTTGAATTAAAGCAAGAACATTGATTGAATTATCTTCGGTCATATCTCTACTACGTCGTTTAAAACAAGGACGATGAAAACTACCAGTTCCTCTTAATCTTCTTGCCTTTCTTTCAAATACTTCTTTGCCATAATGTGTCCTGTCAGGATATCTTACAGAATATATACGTGAGGCAATAGCGACATTTTGGTAACATTCGAAATAAACTCCAATCATAATATCATACAATTCTGCATTTGATATACTCATCACGAATTATTATTACTGATAATTACTAATATTACCAATATTAATATCTATTGAAAAAAGTGCAATCTTTAATTCGAATTATAATATAACACTTCTTAACAATGTTTTGATTGCTGTCAATAAATAAACAATATGAACTTTCCGTCAAAGTCATTGTCGTAGCCTACTTAGTTTCGAAAAAACTATTTTTAATCATATGAAATAACAATGGTCAAAATAGGTATCAACATTAAGATTCTTCTGCTATGAAAAAATTTGAAAGTACCTACTGACTTATTTTTTAATTTAATTTATAATACAGGGTGAGTCAATACTACTACTACTTACTTATGTTTGACGCTGAGATTGAAGTAGCTGTTATGTCTACGCGCGAAAGATTACATCTTTGTGTGGACAACGAGGGGAACAATTTGAACATTTAATTGGACATTAAGTTTTAATGATCAAGATATTTGTATGATCTTTCACATATTAAATTTTAAGTTATAATAAAGGGTGACTCAATACTATACTTACTTATGTTTATGCGTTTTTATTCATATCTCGAGTTCGACAAAAGCTATCAACATGCGGTTTGCGCTATTTTGTTACGACTTTAAGCCAGTTTCATTATAATTTACAATAAATAGGTGTTTCCATTAAACATTTTGAAGAAAATCAAATTTTAATTTCTTTTCTATTCGAAAGTACCCTCTCCCTATGACAATTAAAACTAAATGCAATTATTTTATCTTCTTAAAGTACCATATCCCTACGGAACGTCGGCGACTACCATGCTTATAATATTGTTATACTGATCTCCGTCTTACGCTACGTATAGCAATTGGTCCGCTGTCAAACCTGTCCACTACCGCAAATTCCTCAACCAAGAGAGTTTCTTCCGTCCTATCCATTTCTTTCCTTCGATTTTACCATTGAGAATTAGCCGAAGGAACTCATATCTTGGTCCTCTGATTATATGTCCAAGATATTTTAGTTTTCGCCTCTTAATAATATTTAATAGAGTTCGTTGATGTCCCATTTCTTCGTTTCTGGTTCTGCTAGTCCATGGAATTTTTAGTATCCTTCGATACAACCACATCTCAAACGCCTCGATTTTATTCATGATATCGGCGTTTAAAGTCCAAGTTTCACATCCATACAAAAGTACAGACCACACGTAACATCTTGTAAAACTTTTCACGGATTTCCAAATTTAATGAGTTATTGGATAATAGAAGCTTGAATTTTTAAAATGAGTTTCTTGCCTGTTCAATTCTACATCGAATTTCGAAGGATGGATCTAGATTTTGGGTAATCCAACATCCAAGGTATTTGAATCTCTGAACTCTCTGCAGCGGTTGTTGGTTTAATATCAGTTGGGTTGCGCCGATATCCACTTTACTGGTCACCATGTATTTAGTTTTATCGGTATTTATCGGCAGTCCCCAATTTGTGCATTCCGAGTCAACTCTATTGATTAGTTCCTGCAGATCGTCGATGTTTTCAGCTAGAATCACAGTATCGTCGGCGTACCGTATATTGTTAATTATTTCTCCTCCTATAATAATTCCTTTTTGATCTTTTAAAGCTTCTCTAAATAGATTCTCAGAATACACGTTAAAGAGGGTGGGAGATAGTATACAGCCTTGTCTTACGCCTCGTTCGATACTGATTGGCTTTGATGAATTATTTTATAGTAGATGTAAATTAATTCACCCACACTTTTTCTAATGAAACTAATTTAGTTAAAATCGGTTGATCCAAACTAAAGTTATAGGTATTTATCCACAAATACTATCCACTCTCCCCCACCCTTTATTTGTAAAAATAAAAAAAAGGACTTGAACAACTTTGGGCAGAATTTAGGCCTTTTTCTAGTTTAATTATTTAAAAAATAAGGTATAATTGGGCATATTTCCCAAAAAACTTGTTTTCAAAGTTTTCTTCACAGGTTAAGCCCCCTTGCGGTTAACACAGAAACTTGAAAGTTATTACCAGCGATTTCTCTTGGCCACTTTTACTAAGGAATTTTTTCTCCTAAAGTTATAACATGAATAGTTTCTGATATATAGCCGAGAGATCGGCTTATTGGGCCACCCGGTACAACTTTTATATATAAAACTAATGTACGCGTACTTTACTTAACCTCAAAATGCGAAAACTGTATTAACTCACGAGACAACGACGTTTCCGTTCGGAAAGCCGAGTAAGACTATTCTAACTTAAGATAGGATAGTTTTCGTTGGAAAATCTAAAGATATACAAGTTAGTACAATATCGAAATGCAAAATTGGTTGCCTAAACATGGTGATATTAAATTAGAACTATGTTCATTGAAAGATATCACGGTAATCTAATTCTTCAGGGCTGTAACTCAAAAACGGCAAAAATTGAGTTAGTTTGATAACTTAAAACACAGCGTTTCTGTAATACCTATCTATACCAAAACCTAAATAAGCAAAAAACCTTAATTTCAAAGTAATAATAATAAAATAACTTACTTTAACGCTATTTCTTCTTTCCTCTTCCTGTCGTCGCCGTCCAAATTTAAAGCTGAACTAGTACTGCTCCGCGTTACTGATAAATTGTTTTCAAACGACGAAATTAGGTTCCCGTCTTTCAGATTCAGTTTGGAATTGGATTTTTCTAGTTTATTGTTTTCTATAAGAGGGATTTCCCTTTGGATGGTGCCGCTTTTTATGTGCCAATAGTATGGACCATCGTTATCTGCAAAAAAAATCATAAAATTGGTTAATTTCATGTATAGGGACATTAGCGGGAATTAAAAATTTGAGCACGGACTGACAAAAAAAAATTACTTTACGAAGGTATCTAGAACAAGTATTTCAACTTATTCCATCACAAAATATGCCCGATGCATGATGAGAGATCAATAACATTTTTGTTTTACATCAAATTTTTCAAATACAAAAACAAATGCTCCAAGCCAAACTAAATCTAAATAAGACTCCAGAGTCTTGACTTCTTCTTCAAAGACTAACTCATTAAGAAACTCGCAAGGAAATAGTATGAAAACAACAATATTCAATTTAATACTATGATTAGGATTCCTGGTCCAGTGGAATGTTTTACAAGTTTATATTTATCCCGAAATCTGGAAATCTTCGAACCGAAGTAACTTCGTCAAATTCATTAACAAATCTATTAAAACTATTTGATTCCAAGCCACAATAGAACCTAACCTAACCTATTTAATGCTTGAACAACTATTCGGCTTAAGAAAGAGGTATAGCACAATCGGACGAATACATAGCGCAGTAAGTAAAATAAAAGAAAACCATCGACAAGGTCTGGCATGATGGTAAACTCTTCAAGTTAAAAAAATTACTTCCTCACATAATCTATATAATTATAGAATACTACATTAAAGAAAGACAGTCTGCTGTAAAGTATGGACAGATATCAACAGAAATCACATTGATAAAAGCAGATGTACCACAGAGCAGTGTCCTTGGTCCCCCTCTTTATCTTATGTATGCAAGTCACCTGCCAATAAACAACCAAACAATCACAACCCACTTGTTACATTAAATGGTCAAAATCTGTCTCATTCTAACACTGTGAAGTATTTGGGGATGTACCTGGAAAAAGGACTTGAAGAACAATTATTCGCAACAAGAAAAAACAACTATCTGAAATTTAGCAAATATTATTGAGAGCTGGGAAGATATCAAAAACTTATATTAAAAAACAAGCTCTTTGTGTATAAAGTAGTCTTCAAACCAATATGACCCTACCAAAATGTATATTGGATGGACATCAGCAATCGGCTCCAAGTCATAACAGGCTGGACATTCAAGTCAACGAACACCTGCATGTAATATGACTGTTTCATGCTGACTAAAGCTGCAGATTCTGTAGCAGAACACCTGAAACAACAACCATATCTTGTATGAATGCGAATCATTAGATCGCAAGCGGCAAATGACTACCGAGTAACTCCACAAAAATATGCTAACCAGCCTCTAGACCTGTATAAGCTGGTACAGGGTTCCAGAATTCTGAAATAAGTATCATAAAAAATGGAAGTTGTACAATAAGACTGTAGAACGAGATGGCTTCCATGAAAAAAATATGAACCCAAGGTGTGCAACTATGGGGTACATCCTTAAACTCAAACATAGAGATACTAGAACGTTCCAGTTGAAGGAATTACGTACTATAACAAATGCACTTTGAATAAATAATGAAATTCTTGACAACTTTTATACTACTACTGCAAAAAAAGTAGTAAGTGAATACATCTGCCGATACTTCGAAAAATTGGAGGATTCTCCAAAGGATATTACACTACACCTGTTAGATAAATGGGTATTTATCATAATTTATACAAAGACGTGTACATATGCTTTATAGACTACGCAAAAGCATTCGATAACGTAAAGCACGAAAAGATAATTGAAGTTCTCCATAAGATCGGAGTCGACTACAGAGACATTCGAACAATAGCGAGTCTCTATTTGGGTCAAACAGCTAAAGTGAAAGTAGGATCTACATTGACCAATAAAATTGAGATCAAGAAAGGGGTACGACAGGGCTGTATCTTGTCTCCTATTCTCTTTAATATATACTCAGAAGAAGTATTTAAGACAGCGCTGGAGGAAAGCACAGAAGGCATAAAGATAAATGGAGAAATAATTAATAACATAAGGTATGCTGTTGACACTGTGATTCTAGCAAGTAGCATGGAGGAACTGAGTTGCCTAATGAGTAAGATACAAAAAACAAGTGCACAATACGGACTCAGACTAAATATCACAAAATCCAAATAGATGTTAGTAAGCAAAACCCAACCATCATCAGCAACTGATATTAGACAATGAAAGAATTGAACACGTGGATTCGTACATCTACTTGGGAACAACAGTTAACTCAAATTGGGATCAAGCGAAGGAAATACGTATAAGAGTAGAAAAGGCAAGAGCATCGTTCACTAGCATGAAGCAAATTTTCACCTCTAAAAGCCTCACCCTACCTCTCAAAATTCGACTTCTGAAATGTTATGTATTCCCGGCTTTGTTATATGGAATGGAGGCGTGGACAATGACAGCAGAAGGGGTTCAGGGAGGAGAAGACACTCGTGGCTCCAAAACTTGCGGCAATAGTTCGGATTGTCATCTGCTCAACTATTCAGATCTGCCGTAAACAAAGTCAGAATAGCCATGTTGATTGCCAACGTTCGTAACGGACAAGGCACATGAAGAAGAAGAAGAAGATAATAATTTATACTTTATTAAGTAGTAAATATATTTAATTTAGATAAAGGACAGTTCGTTTTTAGATACCGTTGACCACAGAGAAATCCTGGATAACAATATGAAATTACTGCAGAATTTTTACCCTTTTTTACATGCGAAAAACAATACATTTTTCGCTGATATAACACTACTCCTGACTCCAACCCCACTCTCGAGAAAAACAGACATTTATTGGACAATGCAAAAGAAAAATTTCTCTCTAATTTTGGTCGCTGCAGGCAACAGACGTGTTTTTCCTTTCTGATATTGGTTCCAGCAGATAACAGACGTGTTTTTCCTTTCTGATATTGGTTCCAGCAGATAACAGACGTGTTTTTCGCACTTCTGAGCTTTGATTGCCGTAACCAAGAGACGCTTTTTCCGCTTCTCTTAGTGAATGACTACCCACAAAAAAAACAGCACCGTGTATACTACACAAAAAATATATTTTGAGAAAACTATAAAGATAAACCTACATCATTTAGTATGAAATATGTCCCCCTTTGACTGCAGTTACTGCTTTTACCCGTTTTGCGCAGTCTAGTTTTTCAAACAGCCCATACATTTTTAATGGGGTTGAGGTCTGGCGAATTACCGGATCAATCTAAAACATTAATCTTCTTATTTTTGAAAAACTGCACCATTTGCTTTGACTTATGACATTGTGACCTCAATAGGACTTGTAGCAAAGTCCTATTGACGAATCGCTCCTCCTTGGGGCTGACATTGTTGGAGTTCTGTGCCCCAAACGCTGTTCCAATGTGAATTTGTATTTTTACTGTTTATTATGCCTTCGATTGGTACCATAGATTCAACCCCATGTATTGAAAACATCCCCAAAACATTTTTTTGACGTGATATTTTACGGTTTGGTCAATATGAGATGGTGTAAGACCATTTTCATTGTCAGACATTCTCTGACGAATTTCGACCGCTGTCCCTGAACTATACAGTGAGTTTTATCTATAAATAGGTTTTTCTATAAATAGCTTTTCCCCAGTCGCCTACAATTCAATTGGAGTATTTTTTGGCCCACAATAGCCTTTGTTTCTTTATTATTTCAGTTAGAAGCTGTTTTTACTGTGGACGCATTGGCCTTCTACCATTCTCCAAAAATCTTTTCCCAGAACAGTTGAGTCATAAATCACACCTGATGCTGATAGATCTTGATGGAGCTCTTGACTTTTCTTGTTTTCCTTGGGTCCAATTAGTAAAAATCTTTTATCTGTTGCTGTTGTTTTTCTCTTTCTTTCGCATTTTCCTAACCTTTTCGTTTTTCATTTACGCTTCAAAATCTTGCTTACTACCCCCTTCTACACGTTTTTGCGATTTCTCTTTGTGACATAGAAGTATGTTCACTTAACGTGCTAATCTTTTCACGCTTCCTAGGCGTAATCATGCATGATGGAATTAAACGAAAAGAACTCACTAATTACCAAAAACAACACAAAATAGTACAAAACAACACAAACTTAGTGGGAAATGTCCTAAAACACCCTCAAATAAAAGGCAGAGAAAAGTAAGGTTATATTGTCAATGTTTGGTCAGTTGTAAATGTGTGGACAGTGTTGCCAACTGTGAATATTAAAAAATGTCACAATGATACCATTAATGCGCACAATACTGTAATTATTTTCGAAAAACAGATTTTCAACTAACCGAAAAGTACTGTGTGCTATAAAAATATGGTTCATAGAAACAGATACAGGAAGTTGATTTTAGTAATCACTATACTCTAGGTTTGTTCCTACAAAGAATCAGAAACTAGTTCAGGGCAGTTTCTGACTGCTGCACAATACGCATGTGCGAATTTAACCAGCCGCGAACTAGTTTGTGATTTTTGTTGGAACAATATCCTATCGAGCTGGCAAGTTGCCTATATTAAATAAACAAATTTTGTGTTATTTTATTCGCTGTAACAAAGTAAATTGTTTCTTCTTTAAAATGGAAAACAATGAGGAAGGTAAATCTTTATAATTATTATTATCATGCAGTTACCTATAATAAATACTAATTTGTTTTAGATATGGAAGAAATTATTATTTACCATGAAAACCATGTTGAAGATAGTAGTGTTAAAACTGTAGACTATGTGGTCTGGACCACCAATCAGTCTAAAGTATTAATAGATTTATATAAGAAATATAAACCTAAGGTTGGAACTCTCCAAATAAGAAATTTAAAAAAATTATGGGAGATTATAGCCAAGGAAATAAATAAAAATTTACATATAAATGTGTCCCCGTCGCATTGTGAAAATAAATGGCGTGTATTGGAAAGGGGATACAAAAAGTTCGTAGATAATCAGAATAAAACAGGTAGAGGACGAAAATTTTTTGAATTCAAAGATGAAATGGACAGTATATTCAAAAAAAAAACGAAATATTCATCCCGAGATACTTCTATCTGCTACAAAAGTTATTGAAAATGTGTCGTTGACTTCAGATGTAGTTCTAAAGGAGACTGAAACTCAAGAAGTAGAGAATACTGACAGCCCAGTTCCAGTTACCCACACCGCTACATCTGCACCTAATACCAATACAAAGCATCCAATTCTAAATAGAAATAGAATATTGGAAAATATGAGAATAGAGAGAGCAGAATATTATAAGGAAAGGCTCAGTATTGAAAGGGATAAGCTAGTGGTTCATAGAGAAAAACTAGAAGAGATAAAAAGGCGAAATCTATTACTTGAGAAGCAAAACCAATTACTTGAGAAGCAGAACCAACTACTTGAAAAGCAAAACAAACTTAGGGAAAATCCATAAGATTAATTTATATGTATAGTATTGTTTTTCTGAATAAATATTTTGTTACTTTAACTGTAAAAATCATAATAATTAAAAAATAAAGTATTTTAAAATTTTTATTGTTCTAACAAATTTAAAATTTGATTTCGAACTGCAGCACCATTTCTGTCATCAGGTTCATCATCAGGATCATTATTGTCCAACTGTAAATCAGGTGCTGCTTCATTATTGCCTGCAGGATTGTTTTCATATAAAAATTCATCATTTAATGAAATATTATGCAAAACACAACTTGCTCTTATTAAATGTACACAATCAGCTATAGAGCGTAATTTAAGATGGTATAACTGCCTAAATTTTTGTTTGAGGACTCCTATGCAATGCTCTACTAAGTACCGGTTAGCACACAGTTTTGAATTATAATTTATTTGGGCCCTACTTAACTGCCCCCGGTCTCTAAAGGGTGTTAATAAATTGGGCAATACAGGATATCCACTGTCTCCTAATATATAATAATTTCCACATTTTTCTTGTAGTGTCTGAGACAATGGAGAACTGCGGAATACTCGACTATCATGTACAGAGCCCGGGTAACCAATAAATATGTCTCTGATTTGTAATTCATGGTCACATACCAATTGTAACTAAAACATAACATAGAATAAATACATTTTATTACTGTACAGTAAAGAAAATTACCTGAATCGAATAAAATCCTTTTCTATTTATGTAAGAATCTGGATCATCCTTTGGTTTGTCAATCTTGATATGTGTACCATCAATTATCCCAATTACACCTAAGAAACCATTCGTACGAAAGACATTCTCAATTTTAACTTTTTCTTCATCGGTTGGCCATTTTATTATATGACTTGAGCAGTAGCTCAAAAAGTAAGTCACTTTTCGTATCACTCTAGACAAAGAACTTATTGTAATGTTGAAGCGGTCTGCAACATCTCTAAAACTAGCCGTTTGATGGCCTATATACCATAAAAAAATTAAAACTTGTTGCATTGCTGACAATTTACCATATGGTCCTGCATGTATTTTATAGTAGTCACTATTTTGAAACTGTTCAGCTATGGACTCAGTAACATGCCGACTTATTCGAAAATGCTCCTTAAACTCTGTTTCATTGTATTGGGAAACAGTTGTTTCAAAATAGTTTCTATTTTTAGGGCGAATTCTATCTTCCAATACAATTTCTTCCAAGTCATCACTGGAGTCGCTCATAGAGGATAATGACGAATATTCACTGTCACTCATTGTTTTATAAATTATAATATCAAAAGTATAAAACACTAAAATACAATATTATGTATGTACTTAAAACAACAAAATTACCAAAACAAAGGTACCTATTTAAAATTAAAAATAAACAGTGTAGGTGTGAGTAAATCAAAATTCGACTAATTGCGCATGTCTGTGATTACCAGTTTGCAAAAAGTTCGGAAACTTTTCAAACTGTCAGGAACTAATTTCAAACTGGTTTTATATTTCATGGAACAGTGTACTTTGTTGACAAGGTATCAGAGAAAATCTTGTTGGAACGGCGAAATTATTATTGCGCATGCGTCTGACAGTCGGCGACAGTTTGAAACTTCTGTAGGAACAAACCTCAACAAAACACCCTCAAATAAAAGGCAGAGAAAAGTAAGGTTATATTGTCAATGTTTGGTCAGTTGTAAATGTGTGGACAGTGTTGCCAACTGTGAATATTAAAAAATGTCACAATGATACCATTAATGCGCACAATACTGTAATTATTTTCGAAAAACAGATTTTCAACTAACCGAAAAGTACTGTGTGCTATAAAAATATGGTTCATAGAAACAGATACAGGAAGTTGATTTTAGTAATCACTATACTCTACCTTCGTGTTTCTCCCATCCGGGTGGCAGTTCATTTTGACTATCCCATTCCTTTTCGGGAGAATTATTTGTGTCTATTTGGTCTATATTCTTTTGACATTTTCTCATTGGTACCGCATACAGATCATTTGTTATATTACCTACGATGTGTTGGATGCCGTTCTCATCTTCTTTGGTCATTTTCTCGAACAAACTAAAAATACAAAGATATAATGACATGGTAGGATATAAATACGAGGTTGGATGTATAACGACGAAACAAATAAAAGTACTATAGTGCACACTACTCACATGACAATTTGTGTAATATGAACCAATAAACTAGGACAAACAATTAGCTAACAGAAGTATATAGCAATATGCTTCTGTTATTAATTTTTTTGTTGCAGCAGTTTTTTGCAGGGATTATTCTAAAAAATTATCTGTAGATTTCAAAGGGGTCATTTGACCACATACATCTTTCCACACTGCAACCTGAAATATCTTTTGTATTAGTGTAACGATCCAAAGAATCTATATTTTTTTTTTATTTTTACTAAATTCAGAATGCAGTACTTTTTATGCGCTCCCTGTACAACGTATCTTTGTTTTTGAATAACGAAAATATTAAAATTGTTTTGATTATGGAATAATAAAAATCGACGTCTCCCGTTTTCCCCCGCTGCGAGTGGGATTGTAGGGGGAAGCCCGGGGTAGGAGTGGCAAATGTTTCAAATCTCAACAGATGATTTGAATTCGCACAGATACGCGCGAGTATATTTAACTACATGAAGAAAATTCATAACAACCTTTTTCTCCGCGCTTCGCTTCGCGTTGCAGTGCATAAGTGAGCGACAAGCTTTAAGCTTTGTGTCCACTAATGCTTATGGAATTTGGGAATAAGTTTTTGTATAATTCAAATACACTAATTTACAACAAAAAGTTTTTATGCTTCCTTTTTAATTGATAAATGTTACTCGGCATTATCTACCGTAATTTCGAGTTTACAATGGGTAGACGAGTTTTTAGTCAAACCCAAAACATATAAAGTTTGTTTACAACTAAATATCAAGTAGTATTTGCCATTCCGTAGAAGCGGTTAAATGAAATTGCTTATTAAAGTTTGTCCTAGTTTATGGCCTTACCAGTAAACATTCTAAAATGACAAGGTCGCAATAAAATCAGCTTTTCTTGTAGCTTATACTTCATAGAAAAATGCAGACAGTAAAAATAGAGCCATGATTTCGATCGGCTATGACTTTTAAGTGAATAAAATCAATGTACTTAAAGCACAATATGGAAACTAGAAGAAATGTATACTTCTTTCTAAAATGGCTCAAAAAATACGAGGCTGCAAAAAATGAGGAAAAAACCTTCCTCTTCTGAGAATGATATTAATTTGTCTGTAGAGATCATATTTTTTTTTGTACAATGATACATATATAAATTAAAAAACTTCTAGTTATGATTAACTCTAAAACTGTTGAAAAAGCTCGATTTTATTTGCAGATGTAAAAGTGCATAATATTGTCTATTACATACTTTTCCCAGACAGTAGAACTTTCACTCAACTCCTTATCAGACATAGAATTTCCATTCCACTCATTACCCCTACAACAAATAATATACTACTGTTTGGTAAAGCCTTTTTTGAACAAAATCCGTTATCCACTGATACTTTCACTATAAAACATAAAGTCCAAAAAAATATAGGTATATATCTAATTCATACATAAACAAAAAGGGTTATATTTTTTTAAATATGTACTATTTGATATAACGAAACTGTTGTGGTTTCTATCAGTAGTATTCGTATTCCTTTACAAACATATTCGTAATGTAAAATAAATATTCACGTTCCGATTTTTAGTCCGACTAGTGGTCCAACTTCGGCAGTTGGATCTAGAATCGGACCGTGAGTGAGCTGGTTGGATTAGTTGGACAACTAGTGGTACGAGACGGAACATCTAGAGGGACGACTTGAAGGTCCGACTTCCGACTGGCGATGAAGTGGGAGCGTGAATGGTGAAGTTGGAAATCGGATCACAGGTCGGATCGAAAATTTCCTTTCAGTCAGTTGACCTTCGGCACCTGTTACGTATGAGATTTCTATGAATTACTCTACGCAAAGATCCCTAGTTTGCAAATATTTAATAGAAAATAAACTTTCAATTGAACGAAAATTACCCCTATTAAAATAAATGATTCTTCATCATCATCTAAGGAAAATGCGAAAGAAAGAGAAAAACAACAGCAACAGATAAAAGATTTTTACTAATCGGACCCAAGAAAAAGAAGTCAAGAGCTCCAACAAGATCTTAACAGCATCAGGTATGATTTATGACTCAACTGTTCGGGGAAAAGATTTTTGGAGAACGGTAGAAGGCAATGCGTCCACAGTAAAAACAGCATCTAACTGAAATAATAAAGAAACAAAGGCTATTGTGGGCCAAAAATACTCTAATTGGACTGTAGGCGACTGGGGAAAAGTCCTATTTACAGATGAAACTCACTTTATAGTTCAGGGACAGCGGTCGAAATTCTTCAGAAAGTCTGACAATGAAAATGGTCTTACACCATCTCATATTGACCAAGCCATAAAATATCCGGTCAAAAAAATGTTTTGGGGATGTTTTCCATACATGAGGTTGAATCTTTGGTACCAATCGAAGGCATAATAAACAGTAAAAATACAAATTCACATTGGAGCAGCGTTTGGGGCACAGAACTCCAACAATGTCAGCCCCAAGGAGGAGCGATTCTTCAATAGGACTTTGCTACAAGTCCTATTGAGCTCACAATGTCACAAGTCAAAGCAAATGGTGCAGTTTTTCAAAAATAAGAAGATTAATGTTTTAGATTGGTCCGGTAATTCGCCAGACCTCAACCTCATTGAAAATGTATGGGATGTTTGAAAAACTAGACTGCGCAAAATGGACAGTAATACAAAAATAAAAATGATAGAGGCGGTCATTCAGGTTTGGTTTCGAGGTAAAAGGATATCTGGGAATTTTCGGAACTCATAGAATCTATGCCAAAACGGGTAAAAGCAGTAACTGCAGTCAAATGGGGACATATTTTATACTAAATGATGTAGGTTTATCTTTATAGTTTTCTCGAAATATATTTTTGTGTAGTATACACGGTACTGTTTTTTTGTGAGTAATCGTTCACTAAGAGAGGCGGAAAAAGCGTCTATTGGTTACGGCAACCAAACTCAGAACGCGCGAAAAACACGTCTGTTATCTGCGGGAACCAATACCAGAAAGGAAAAGCACGTCAGTTGCCTGCAGCGACCAAAATTAGAGAGAGATTTTTCTTTTGCATTGTCCAATAAATGTCTGTTTTTCTCGAGAGTGGGGTTGGAGTCAGGAGTAGTGTTATATCAGCGAAAAATGTAGTTTTTCGCATGTAAAAAGGGTAAAAATTCTGCAGTAATTTCATATTGTTATCCAGCATTTCTCTGTGGTTAACGGTATTTAAAAACGAACTGTCCTTTATCTAAATTAATTATATTTACTACTTAATAAAGTATAAATTATTATCTTCTTCTTCTTCGTCATGTGCCTTGTCCGTTCCGAACGTTGGCAATCAACATGGCTATTCTGACTTTGTTTACGGCAGATCTGAATAGTTCAGCAGATGACAATCCGAACCATTGCCGCAAGTATTGGAGCCACGAGTGTCTTCTCCTCCCTGGACCCCTTCTGCTGTCATTGTCCACGCCTCCATTCCATATAACAAAACCGGGAATACATAACATTTCAGAAGTCGAATTTTGAGAGGTAGGGTGAGGCTTTTAGAGGTGAAAATTTGCTTCATGCTAGTGAACGATGCTCTTGCCTTTTCTACTCTTATACGTATTTCCTTCGCTTGATCCCAATTTGAGTTAACTGTTGTTCCCAAGTAGATGTACGAATCCACGTGTTCAATTCTTTCATTGTCTAATATCAGTTGCTGTGGTGGTTGTTGGGTTTTGCTTACTAACATCCATTTGGTTTTTGTGATATTTAGTCTGAGTCCGTATTGTGCACTTGTTTTTTTGTATCTTACTCATTAGGCAACTCAGTTCCTCCATGCTACTTGCTAGAATCACAGTGTCATCAGCATACCTTATGTTATTAATTATTTCTCCATTTATCTTTATGCCTTCTGTGCTTTCCTCCAGCGCTGTCTTAAATACTTCTTCTGAAGTATATATTAAAGAGAATTGGAGACACGATACAGCCCTGTCGTACCCCTTTCTTGATCTCAATTTTATTGGTCAATGTAGATCCTACTTTCACTTTAGCTGTTTGACCCCAATAGAGACTCGCTATTGTTCGAATGTCTCTGTAGTCGACTCCGATCTTATGGAGAACTTCAATTATCTTTTCGTGCTTTACGTTATCGAATGCTTTTGCGTAGTCTATAAAGCATATGTACACGTCTTTGTTCATATCTCTGCAGCGCTGGATGAGTACCTGTAGACTAAAAAGTGCTTCTCTTGTCCCAAGAGAATTCCGAAACCCAAACTGCGAATCTCCAATGTTATCCTCGCATTTTTTGCTTATTCTGTTGTAAATAACCTTGGTGTATGCCTTCGAAATGTGGTTAATTAGACTTATCATCCGATGTTGATCACAAGACTTTGCTTTTGGTTTTTTCGGTATGGCAACAAAAGTTGACTCTAGCCAGTCTTCAGGAAACTCCCCGCTATTATAAATATTGTTAAAGAGTCTGACGAGTGAGTCTAGAAATTGACTGTTTGTTTCGCACAGCATTTTCAATACTTCCCCGTATACGTTATCGTTGCCTGGTCTTTTGTTATTTTTAAGACCCTTTATAGCATTCTCCACTTCTGATTTTAGAATAGAAGGGCCAGTATCATCATTGCTCAGTGTATACCCACTAGGACGGTCATCATTAAACAGTTGTTCCACATAAGTTTCCCAGATTCTAACTATTTTGTCGGGGTCTAGTTGTAGATTTCCATTATCATCGCACAGCCCTTTCGATAAAATATTGTAGCTTTTCTTTGTTGTGAGTTCCTTTATCTTCTTATGCATATTGTGATAGTCGTATACCTTTTCGCACTGTTCGATTTCTTCGCATCTCTCCGAGAACCATTTCTCTTTAGTTTTTCTTATCTCAGCTCTTATTCGTCTATGGGTTTCACGGTATTTGGCAGTATCTTTAGTTTTATATATCCGTCTCTCTTCCATCATGTCAAGGATTTCTGCAGTCATCCAGTCTTTCTTTTTTCTCTTATCAGGTAGTAAAAACTTAGTGCTTGAAGTCCTAATCTCTTCTTTAATTTCACTCCATTTTTCCAGCGGTTCATTGTTATTTTTAAGGATTTTTGATATTTCGGTATTTAAATTCTCCTGCATCTGTTGTTTAATATTATTGTTGGAAAGCTTCCTAATATCTAGCGTTTCGGGCCTCTTCTTTACATTTGGCTTTTTTAACTTTACTTCAAACTTACATACCACCGGATTGTGGTCTGATGCTACGTCCGCACCCGGGTAAGTTTTTACGGCTTTGATGGAGTTTCTAAACCCAATTGGTGCAGCTATATAATCAATGGTCGTGGCTATAAATAAATATTCTTTTTAACTGCCGCCCCGATAAACAACTGTCACCCGCAATAAACTTCTTTATCATAAATACAACTGTTTCACATATCAGAAAATATGATAGATAGAATGATACTAGACAATTTAAAGCAGTCAAAAATGACAGACTTGTACCAATTGCAGAAGCAATAGTTTATGTCATCTTTGAAAATACGCTTTATATATTATGTAGTTCGAAAAAAAATATATAAGTACAGATTTTTTGTTTCAACGTATATCATATTCAATAAAAGTAAACAACTTTGTTTTGTTTTAATGTGTTTCATTGACAATAAAAGTAAACAACTTTTTTTTCAAAAACGCCATTCAAACAATATTATGCATCTTTTATTGCTCCGAATGGCTTCACTATAGGAAGTTAATGTTTTAGAAAACTACATATTCATATGTATGCACAGTATTATTGTTGTCTGATATAACGAGATCGGCTTATAACGAGTTAATTGATCTGCAATTTCAGTTCTCGTTATAGAGTGAGTCTACTGTATCAATATCGGCAGTGGAGCGATGGCATGAATATACCCAACAAAAGATTTCTTTTTAATTTGTTGATTAAAACATAATTTTCATTGATCAACTTTAAATAGACAACACACAAAACCTTTCCGTGATAAAAGGGTCAGTCCTCGTAGCAAAATACTTTTTTAAGCGGCACAGCACAAGGAATAATAATTATGAAGTATATGAATGCACATATCAATTGGAAAATCTGTAATTATCGCTTATTTTTATGATTATCAGTCGTTTTAAATTCATTCTAGAACTAAAATAATGATTCTTTTATATAAAAACATGTATAAAATGGACCAGTAACGAGAAAGTAATGACTGTAAAAAATAAATAAAAATAACTAATGACATAGATGCATCAGACTATAAAAAAGACATTAGTATCAGTGGATAACATGAATTTTAAAAATAATTTATAGGACGAGACACCACATTTATAAATCGAAAAAAACTTCGCAGATACATACACCCAAGCAATGCTTACCTTCTATTATCCACGTAATTTTGAGTCAGAGGTCCCTTGTTAATGTCAACCCCCATGGAAGTAATATCTAAAGCGGCGTAAGCTTTTCTACTGGCGTTGGTGGTGACGGAGCCTTTGACTCCGTGACCCATGTTGCAGATGTCGTCTAGCTCTTGGTAAATATCTTCGTATAGGCTCTCGGTGTTCGAGTTTAGGGCATCGTCCAAGCGGTTCGAAGGACCTAGACGGTAGTTCGGGTTTTCATAGCTTAAGAGGCCATTTTCTGAAAGAAAGTACATTAGAATCCTGGTACTTGAGATTTGTATGTAGTTATGTTATAATATATATTTATTTGTTTACAAGTATTGTTGGAAAACTAAGAACAAGAAGTAGAATCATTATATTTCATCATATAACATCAAACCAAAAGAACCCATTTTACTCAACAATTATCAATAATTCGATTGTTAAAATTAGTAAAAGGAGAATAACACAAGCCAACGATGAAAAAACTTTTTTACTTAAACATTTTTATTCTTGTGTTTTTAGGATGCAAAACCGAAATATGACACTTATTAAGTTGTACCACCTACAATTTCTTTCTTCTTCTTCTTCAAGTGCCCTGTCCGTTGCGAACGTTGGCTATTAACATGGCAATTTTGATCTTGTTTGCGGCGCTTCTGAATAGTTCGACCGATGTGAGCCCGAACCACTTCCGCAGATTTTGGAGCCACGAGTGTCTTCTCCTGCCTGGCCCTCGCTTACTGTCTATTTTTCCCTGGACAATCAATTGTAGCAGACGGTACTTATCGTGTCTCAATATGTGGCCTAGATATTCAAGCTTTCTTTGTTTAATTGTATTCACGATTTCTTTCTCCTTTCCGATTCTTTGGAGTACCTCTATGTTGGTGACATGTTCGGTCCAGGATATACGAAGAATGCGTCGGTACACCCACATTTCGAATGCTTCTAGTTTTCTCGTTAGCGTCTCCGTCAGCGTCCAGGCCTCCACGCCATACAGCAAGATCGGAAAAATGTAGCATTTAACTATACGTAGTTTTAGGGGAAGAGACAAATCCTTGCTTATGAGGAGCTTTTTCATATTGCTAAATGCTGCTCTAGCTCGTTCTATTCTCGCCTTAATTTCTATGGTCTGTTCCCATTTTGCATTTACGTTGGTGCCAAGGTACACATAAGATTCTACATGGTCAATTAATATGTTACTTATCCGTAATTGTCGAGCAGGTTGTTGCTTTTTGCTTATCAGCATCCACTTTGTCTTCTTGAAGTTGAGGCTCAGGCCGTATTCCTCACTAACTGAATAAAGTCTTTCCATTACTTGTTGTAATTCGTCTATGGTACTGGCAAGGATCACCGTGTCGTCGGCGTATCTTATATTGTTCGTTAACTCGCCGTTTATTTTAATGCCCTCATTTGCATTTTCCATACATTTGTTAAATATTTCCTCGGAATACATATTGAATAGGAGTGGGGATAATATACACCCCTGACGGACACCCCTTTTGATCTGCACGCTTTCAGTGAGTTCGTTGCCAATTTTTGCTCTTGCTGTTTGACCCCAGTATAGGTTTGCCACAATTCGAATGTCCTTGTCGTCAATACCTGTCTTTCGCAGAATACCTATCAATTGTTCATGATTGACATTGTCAAATGCTTTTCTAAAATCTACAAAGCACAGATACACGTCTTTATCAACGTCTCTACACCGTTGTATAAGCACCTGGAGAGCGAAAATTGCTTCTCTAGTTCCAAGTGCTTTCCGAAAACCAAACTGCGATCTATCAATATTTGACTCACATTTATCATATATTCTTCTGTGAATGATCTTAGTGAACGCTTTAGTGACATGATTGATCAAGCTTATGAGCCGGTAGTCATCACAAATCTGGGCATTTGGTTTCTTCGGGATTGTAATAAATGTTGACTGTAGCCAGTTCTCCGGGATTTTACCGCTATTATATATGTTGTTAAAAAGTACAACTAGATTGTCAAGGAACTGTTTGTCTGATTTACATAGGATCTTTAATATTTCGCAGGGTACATTGTCCGGACCTGCTGACTTATTGTTTTTTAGTGCTGCAATGGCATCTTCTATCTCCGATTTAAGAATTGAAGGTCCTGTTTCTCCTTCTCCATATAGGTGATCATCAGTCCTGTTAGATGCAAATAATTTTTCTATGTATGATTTCCATGTTTTTAAGATCGTTGATGGCTCCGAGATAAGATTTCCATCGCTATCTTTTATGCTGTTGGGTGACTTATTGAATTTCCTCTTGTTTGTCATCGATTTTATTTTTTTGTGCATATTGTAACTGTCGTATTTTCGTTCGTATTGTTCTATTTCCCTGCATTCGTTGGAAAACCATTTTTCTTTGGCTTCTCGAATTTTCGTTCTTATGGTTTTGTGGATCTGCTGGTATTTTTCTGCATTTTTATTCTTGAATTTACGTCTTTCATCCATCATATCCATTATCTCATCAGACATCCATTCTTTCTTTTTTCGTCGGTCTCGCTTTAATAGAGTCGCGCATGTTGTTTGGATTGCTTCCCTCGATTTATCCCATCTCTACAATTCCTTTACATTACAACAATAGTACATTACTACAATTTCTTTACATTTACATTTATTAAATTTTGTGAATTTTTTTAAGAATTTAACAGCTTTTTATAGTTCAAATGAAATAATGTACTTGATGTATAAGTGTAGGCAACACTGCAGATACATATTTACTATCTATTCACAGCTGTTTACTGTCGACCTAACCTCACTTTCTAGTTTGTAGTACATGTGTACTACAGCAGTAAAATGTCTAATCGTGGTTGTAAGAACTGTGCTGACAGTTTTTGGTATATTTGTGGTGAATTTTTTATTAAAAAAATACCAAATTTATTCTTCTTGTTCTTCTTCATGTGCCTTGTCCGTTACGAAAGTTCGCAATCAACATGGCTATTCTGACTTTGTTTACGGCAAATCTGAATAGTTCAGCAGATGACAATCCAAACCATTGCCGCAAGTTTTGGAGCCACGAGTGTCTTCTCCTCCTTGGACCCCTTCTGCTGTCTATTTTCCCTTGAACGATCAGCTGTAGTACTCTATATTTATTATGTCTCATAACGTGACCCAAGTATTCCAACTTTCTTTTCTTTATACTTATTCCTACCTCTCTCTCTTTACCTATCCGGCGTAGTACTCTTCGTTGGTCACGTGCTCAGTCCAGGATATACTTAATATACGTCGGTAAGCCCACATTTCGAAGGCCTCTACTTTTTTCATTAATGTTGCGGTCATTGTCCACGCCTCCATTCCATATAACAAAACCGGGAATACATAACATTTCAGAAGTCGAATTTTGAGAGGTATGGTGAGGCTTTTAGAGGTACTCTTATACGTATTTCCTTCGCTTGATCCCAATTTGAGTTAACTGTTGTTCCCAAGTAGATGTACGAATCCACGTGTTCAATTCTTTCATTGTCTAATATCAGTTGCTGTGGTGGTTGTTGGGTTTTGCTTACTAACATCCATTTGGTTTTTGTGATATTTAGTCTGAGTCCGTATTGTGCACTTCTTTTTTGTATCTTACTCATTAGGCAACTCAGTTCCTCCATGCTACTTGCTAGAATCACAGTGTCATCAGCATACCTTATGTTATTAATTATTTCTCTATTTATCTTTATGCCTTCTGTGCTTTCCTCCAGCGCTGTCTTAAATACTTCTTCTGAGTATATATTAAAGAGAATAGGGACAAGCTACAGCTCTGTCGTACCCCTTTCTTGATCTCAATTTTATTGGTCAATGTAGATCCTACTTTCACTTTAGCTGTTTGACCCCAATAGAGACTCGCTATTGTTCGAATGTCTCTGTAGTCGACTCCGATCTTATGGAGAACTTCAATTATCTTTTCGTGCTTTACGTTATCGAATGCTTTTGCGTAGTCTATAAAGTATATGTACACGTCTTTGTTCATATCTCTGCAGCGCTGGATGAGTACCTGTAGACTAAAAAGTGCTTCTCTTGTCCCAAGAGAATTCCGAAACCCAAACTGCGAATCTCCAATGTTATCCTCGCATTTTTTGTTTATTCTGTTGTAAATAACCTTGGTGTATTTCCTTCGAAATGTGGTTAATTAGACTTATCATCCGATGTTGATCACAAGACTTTGCTTTTGGTTTTTTCGGTATGGCAACAAAAGTTGACTTAACCAGTCTTCAGGAAACTTCCGCTGTTATAAATATTGTTAAAGAGTCTGACGAGTGAGTCTAGAAATTGACTGTTTGTTTCGCACAGCATTTTCAATACTTCCCCGTATACGTTATCGTTGCCTGGTCTTTTGTTATTTCTTATATTTGGGAAATAAACGTGGTGATCAGGATAAATCTTGGACCCCGCATAAGGTATGTTGAGTTTGTATTGAAGATCTTAGAAAATGGTCAAAAAAAGAAGCCTTTAAGTTTGCCGTTCTTACTGTATGGAGGTAGGGTCTAGAAACCATAACTCGAAAAACAAGAAGGTAATAAGCTACCCTCACCTAATATTCTCCATCCGACCAGTAGGTTAGGTTAGGGCACGATGGAGACATAGACATATAATACAAATAGACTGACTGTTGCAATACCGGCCTGTTCTCCCCGTAAGACAGAGAAAACTGAAGCAAAAGTTCCTCCATTTCTTTCTAATATACCGGGTTTATCGACGTGATCTAAATCACCAATGGGAAAGTCACGTGGTCGATAAACTCGGTCCATTAGAAAGCGATGCAGGGATTGCTTTGCGACGATCAACATCCAAATGATGAGCTAGATGAGCAAAATGATACAGATCTTCCAATATACTACGGAAAATATAGAGCCTAAACTGTTTACGCAGAGCGAGAAAAACGACTTGGTTAGGGATTTTTTGCTTGGTTCTAAACTAAAAGAAAAGAAGTTGTTGGCAGTTGTAAAACGCATAGGCATCATGAAATGAGATGGACCTTATTTTAAGCATTTCTGTCAAAACTTCTCAAACCTTTCAGAAGCTAAACTTAAAATGGGCGTCTTTGTAGGACCTGACATTCGACGTTAACATTGAAACTACAATGACCATAAATGAGAAAGAAGCATTGATATCACTCAAGCAAGTTGTTACAAATTTCTTAGGATGTGCAAAAAATTCATTTTTATAAATTAGGATGTTTAATGATCCCTAAAGTTCACTTTTTGAACAGTCAACCAGGAGCAGGGTGAGCCTTTTGACCAGTATATTAAATTTATGGAAAAACGCTACCAGGGGCCGTTGGAA